AAAGTTTTCTTTCCAGTTTTCATCTTGTGAATGGAGCTCGTACATTTTTACAAGTGTAAAACCTTTTGTCACGGTTTAGCTGCTTAGTGTCCCCAAAAGGACTATGTGTTAAATAAAGATTGGCACCCCAAGGTGGTGTTATGGTAGAATAATAGAATCTTCATCACCTGGAGTCGTGTAGCAGGTCCTCAAATCTTTGAGGGTGTGCCTATAGGAGGACCTTGGGACCTCGTCTGCCTCTCTCTCTCCTCCCTCTCTTTCCCTCTCCTACCCCCTACAATGATTCTAGATTGGAAGAATCTTGGACACATGGCCCTGATGAGCATTTTGTGTTGTTTTGTTTTGATCCAATGAGCTCTTTTTTCAGCCAGCCTCTCCACCTGAGGGCCAAAGCTTCATTGCACTAGAACATCCAAACTATCCTGTTCTGTTTACAAGTGAATTGTTTCCAGGTATTTCATTATCATGATGGATAGGTAATGAATACCACTTTGTATTTGTGGCTTTTGTTAGAAAAAATAAAGAGATACGTATCTTCTCTTGTGCTTCTACAGTATTTTCTGGGCTGTATCATTTTCACAGTCAAGAAGTGAACACTTATTTTTAATTTTCTGAAAGGTGAGGGTGAAGAGTTATGACTACTCCAGCAGCATCTTTGAGCACTTACTGGAGAAAGAGTGAGCAAAGGAAAACTGAAGAATGTGAAGGGAAGAGATGGGTAGGAGAAGAGAGAAGAGCTGGGAGAAAAATGTACAATGACAGCTGCAGCTGGAGCAATGTCATTACCCTCAGCTGGATTTGGTTGAGTTTTCTGTTCACAGAATATAGGTGCACAGACATGCATATGAATACATGAATGAAAGAAGCTAGGGATGAGACACAAAAAAGTACTGATCCATTAGGTTAATGCTGGATGCTCACTGAAGATCAGAGCTAAAAGATCTGATGTTAGCAGAAGTTCGAGGTAAATTTCCAGCAAGCACTAGTCTAGACAGAAAGAAAAATAAGGAGTTGTAGCATAGCAGGCCAAACAGAAACCATGATTTCTTTTCTATTTCAGGCAGGAGGTTGGACAAGGCAGCCTTCTCCTTGCTTCAGTTGCTGAAACCATGAAACCATCTATTTAGCGAGAGAGCTTGGTAGCCAGATCATGTGGCTCAGAACAAATCCTCAGGTCCAAGAGCCAATTTAGTGTGTGATGCAGGAAGAAATGTCAGGCCAGGGAACCAGCCCTGGAGGACTCATTAGAATGCCATTTCCAGAAGAAGCCATTTCAGGGGAAGCCATGTCAACTGAGAGGATACTGCTGAAAATCCCCAAGGATAATGTTGGGGCTCTCTGTGTCCTCGGAGACAGTGTGATGGGGCCATGATGTGTATTGTTTGAGAACTTCTGCCAGTACCTCTTTCCCCAAGTCCCTACCTGGCTCATCTGGACTCCAGCTGGGACCATGTATGTCTGAGTATATAGACAGACAGTCAGAACCACTGTAAAGGACTTTCTCACAAGGAGACTGGGTGAATGGTTTTAAGGAATCAGCTCCTGGCTTCCCTAACATCCTGCCTGGATTTTCACCTGAGTATCTTCCTTCCCCCAGCCCCAACCACTCCCTTTCTTCATGAAAACTGGCCATGGCGGTAACTGGAGGAACTTTGATCACTGATCCGAGTGATGTCTACACCCCACCCTGCTGCAAGAATTTTCTTCTCTTTCCTCAGCATTTTGAACCTCCTCATTTCCCCAATGAATCCCAGGGCAAGCAGTACGGTAGGGAAGCCATGTTTTGTGCTGTTTTCCATTTGGAGATTAAGGTTCTTTCTCTGTTTCACAATAATGACTGTTCTTCTAAGACTGAGAGATTTGAGCAACAGAACCAAAAACTCCTGGTTTGCTCTCAGGTTAAGTTCCTCAAGCTTCATAGCTGACCCAGTCTCAACTGTACTCTAGAAACTTGGTGAAATTACCCACATTGTACATGTGGAGATACCATTCAGGGCCACCGGCCAGACCCCAGTCCCTAGAATTTCTGATGCTGGCTTTCTAATTTAAAAGAAAAATGCACTATTACATTTGTTCTGGGCTCTAATAGTCTAATGTGAAACCCCAAATGAATAGTGCCAAAAAAGTGGACTATCCAATCAAGTTCCTCAACTGCTGAAACCTGAAACACCTCAGAAAAGCCAAATGAAGCTAAATGTAGTGGTACACATTTTTAATCCAAGTACCTGGGAAGTTGAGGCTGGAAATTAAGACTTCAAGGCCAGCCTTGAACTGTCTCAACACTGCTTTCCCCAAAAGGATCATTGAAATTGATTAAATATTTTACCCTATGGGACAATGACACAGAGAACAAAACTTACAAAATGTATTTACAGTTGTGTGTCAGTGTCTCACGCTTAAAATCCTAGCTACATAGAAGGCTGAGATCTGAGGATTGTGGTGTGAAGCCAACCTAGGCAGGAAAGTCTATGAGACTCTCATCTCCAATAAACTACCCAGAAAAGGCAGGAAGTGGTGTGGTGGCTCAAATGGGAGAGTGTTAGCCTTAAGCAAAAGCTCAGAGACAGTGTCCAGACCCTGAGTTCAAGCCCTAGGACGAGCAAAAATTAAAAAGAGTATTTTTCAAATAGTTAGCTGTTCTCCTTAATTGAATGATTTTTTTTACAAAGTAAAACAATACAAAAATTATCTTCCATTCACTTCAGCTGACTTCTCTAAGTTGGGGAATCCATACAAGCACCCACACGCATCGCCTACAGTTATCTAGGAAGGCTACTTCCTATGTTGGCACAGTGATAGCATTCTGCCCTTCACCCTAAAGGACATTGGGAGATGTCAGTTGATAGGAAGGAAGGGAAAGCAAGAGTCTAGAAATGGAGTTGGCAGCTAAATAGGGTCTAGTGTTTAGTTTCGACCACTTCTATCTTCTCTTTTTTAAAGATGAACGTATTTTTATTGCACTGTGTTCAAGATTTCAGAACAAGGATTCATATATATGTATATTATTTATTATTTTATGTTTTATTGTCAATATGTTGTACAGAGGGTTTACAGTTACATAAGTAAGATAATAAGTACATTTCTTGTCAAAATATCTTCTTTTCTCCTCTTGAAAACTGTTCAGATCATGGCACAGAGACCTGTAGTAATGAGGCTTGAATAGTAAAGTATCTGACTAGCAATTACAAAACCTAGTGCTACCAAAAAAGCACAAGAAAAAGGGATATGGAAGAATGTATGTTCACCTAATTTTCTTTCCTTTTCCTCTGTCCGTCTTAAATCAATAGAAGAAAATTTCAAGTTTCATATTTACCAAAAACAATGGCCAGATTGGTTTTGAACTTGCCTTTGCTCAAAAAGTAGAGAACATCTTCCAGTCACTGTTTCTCAGGTTAGACCTATAGATTTGATTTCATGGAATGAGAGAAAGATCTCAGGTGACAACTGAAAAAGAGATGTGATTTTTAAAAGGCATTCAAAAATGCTTCTTGAGTGGAGTTCCTTGAGCAAAAATACAAGACAACCTTGTACTGTATTTCATTGTCATGAACTCCACAATGCCATCCACTATTTTTCTCATACATGAACCCCAAACTCTATTCACCCTCAACTTTCACCTTATAGACACTTACTGAATGAATCCTTCCCTGAAATCATACATGAATGGTCTCAAAACCTTTCACATTTTTATTCACACATTAATTTTCAGTACTAATGAAGGGATTTGTGTGATGAATTTTCACATATGTACAATTACCCTAGCTAGAACCAAGTATAGTATCAGATACATTGTAGGTGCTCAGTAAATGCTGATTAAGTGAATAAAACAGAGCTAATATATGGGCTTTCCCTGTCAGGTATTTATGAATCTACTACTTAAAGATCCCAACTCTGGAATAACCAGGATAGTGACATCAATAGAAGAAAAGTAGAATAGGAATACATATACAAAGGAAGATGGGGAATTTACTAGCAATGTTTCCTCATCTCTTTCAGAGTTTCTCTAAAGTCTTCCACCAAATTGTGAATAATTTGCAATGTAAAAAATAGATAAGCGCATGCACACATCTGTGTGACTTTCCTCCTCAATCAATTTCAACCAGTGCTACTACAATCAGCAGGACAGCTTCCTTCTTGTATTGCTAAGATTTGTGAAGCAAGCTAATCATCCCTCATAATCAGAATATTACAGTGAATCCCAGGTAGTAGCTACAAGCCTTGTCTACAATGTCTGCTTTATGGATATTACACATACTAACAGAAACAGACACCATGCCTCCATGAATCCCACCTGTATCCTTCTTGCCTTCTTCTGAGTAAATATTTAATCACTAGCTTCAAAGAGGCAAATAACATTTGTACTGTTGCTATATTTACTCATGCATTTAATTCAGCCCTGGATTCCTTTTCTTTCCAGCAGACAAGCAGTGTGGCCATCAAGGAGAGGAATACTTTTGAAGACTATAGAGTTCCAATGGCCCAAGAGCCCAGAACAGCTTCTATTGCCAAACAATCAACACTGAGACTTCAAAGTAAAGATATACCTCAGAGGAAAGTAGAAAAAGAATAATTTTTACTGAATAAGATATGTAAAATGAATTTTAATCCCTAGTAGACTTTTAAGCAAAAAATAGCTAGATTTTAAACCAATGTTCAATGTATTTCTTTATTATAAAATAAGAGATGTTTTCCTTTATGAACAAAATTCTTTGCCTGTCTTTCTTGTCTTTGATGCTTTATATGAAAGATATTCTTAATAGTAATTCTCAACATGTTCGCTATATATGTAGTTGATGGATCTTCATAATACAATGAAAATATTCAAATGTTAAAAATAACAGAAAAGAAACGATTCTGGATTCTGGATAAGTTCCAAAATCCCTTTCTCCATCCCCATTTGTTAGGACAATCCAAAAATAGGCTAGAAAAATAGGCTAGAACCTCTTTAGAAGAGGTTCTAGACGCATTCCATTTCTAGGCAACTAAAGAGAGCACACAGAATGGAGGTCTGGAACTCTACCTTGAGTAGCAGCTTCATCTTGGTGGGCATTCTGAATGACAGCAGGTTTCCTGAACTGCTCTGTGCCACAATCACAGTGCTGTACATGCTGGCCCTGACCAGCAATGGGCTGCTGCTCCTGCTCATCACAATGGACGTGAGGCTCCACATGCCCATGTACCTCCTGCTTAGGCAGCTCTCTCTCATTGATCTCCTTTTCACAACAGCTGTCACGCCCAAAGTCATCATGGATTTTCTCCTTGGAGATAACACCATCTCTTTTGGAGGCTGTGCCCTGCAGATGTTCCTGGCACTGACAATGGGTAGTGCAGAGGACCTGCTTCTAGCGTTTATGGCTTATGACAGGTACGTGGCCATTTGTCATCCTCTCAAGTATACGATCTTCATGAGGCCACGGATCTGCTGGCTCGTGGTGACCACATCCTGGATCCTGGCATCCCTGAGTTCCCTAGGACATACCATCTACACCATGCATTTTCCTTTCTGCATGTCCTTGGAAATCAGACACCTGCTCTGTGAGATCCCCCCTCTGCTGAAGTTGGCCTGTGCAGACACCTTCACCTATGAACTCTTGGTGTATGTTACAGGGGTGACTTTCCTCTTGCTCCCCCTTTCTGCCATTGTCACCTCCTACACACTGATTCTCTTCAATGTGCTCCACATGCCTTCCAATGAGGGGAGGAAGAAGGCCCTTGTCACCTGCTCCTCCCACCTGACTGTGGTTGGGATGTTTTACGGTGCTGCCACGTTCATGTATGTCCTGCCCAGTTCCTTCCATAATCCCAGACAAGACAACATCATCTCTGTGTTCTACACAATTGTCACTCCAGCTCTGAACCCCCTCATCTACAGTTTGAGAAATAAGGAGGTCATGAGGGCCTTGAGGAGGGTCTTTGGAAAATACATCCTGCCTTCACATTCCAGCAATTAGAACTTACCTGTCACTATTCCTTTCCCTCATCAAATTGCTATACTAACCTACTTTTTAGTAATAGATTCTGTGATGGTCTATATACATTTTAAACTCTTTATCTTCTACTGTGTAGTTAGTATGTACAAAGACATGACATTGAAGTCATGTGGCACACATTACTCTGTCTTGGGAATTTCCACATTAAAAAAGGACTGGAAGAAAATGGTTGAATAGATATCTGAGGTTTACTATGCTGTGAGGAATCATGGACATTACCAAGTTGATAGGACCGGGGATTAAATTTCTACTTCACTTTTACATATTGGAGAGAAATAGTAGGTGTTTTAGACTAGGCAAAAAGTAATAGCATTGACCTTCAGCAGTCTGCTCCCTTTTGATTGTATTCTTAAAATATTAATAAAGGAGACGTTCCACAAAAGATGTATTGGACTCATTGCTTATTTAAAAGAAAGATAGCTTTGTTCTGGGTGCCAATGGCTCACACCTATAATAAGGCTGAGATTTGAGTTTCATGGTTCAAAGCTAGCCCAGGCAGGAAAGTCTGTAAGACACTTATCTCCAATTAAAGGTTTAGTTTGTTTGTTTTCTTTTAAAATTATTATTGCAAAGGTGATATACAAAGGAGTTACAGTTACATGGATCAGGTAATGGCTACAATTCTTTTTGAACTATGTCTCTTTTTCCTTCATACTCTCCTAGTTTTTCTCTCCCATCCCCACCCACAAGATGTACAGTTCATTTTCCACATAGTGTCTCATAAATACCACTGTAATATTTGTTCACTCTTTGTTCCATCTTTTCCGTTCCCTCATTATCTCCCCAAATACAAAAAATAACAAATAAGGCAAAATGAAAAATAAAAACAGTACAAAAGTTTTGAATGGTGTACGAGGTTTGCTCTCTTGTTACCAACTGAAGAGTAGATTCATTGGCATTTTGATTCCCATAGAGCGAATAATAGTTACTCTTTGGGACTAAGGAAACACCCATGGCATCTAATCTTAAAAAACTGCTCCCTTTCTTTTGGATTTTACATAAATAAAAAGAAGGACTTACCAAAGCTACATTAGGCTTCATAGTATTAGGAAAATCTTACTAGTGGGGAAGAATAATAGGTGGTTGTGTTTACATTCTATGCTGAGGAGAAATTCACATTGATAGCACAATGACCAATACATTTGCAGACTAGAAAGGGCTGAAGAAATTCAATCTGGCAACTCTGTTTTAAAACTGTCAGAGTCCTTTTAAAATATGTATGATTAAGACATAAAATAAAGACAGTAGAATTAAATGTACACAGAGAGCAGAGGTATAATAACGTGGAGAGAAATCAACTGCTCTTGTGGTTTGAATTTTTTCAAATGTGATTTTATAGCACACAGATGTGTTTTGATACTAGTTGCTGGGAAGAAACATGGAAATATGTTTATGTCTATGTGAATAGAAAAGGAAGCACAGAAAATATGATTTACTTTGAATATGCTTTTATAACTACATTATTAATATGCAGGAGAGACTGAAAACATTCAGTGAGAACCTTCTGGGTGCAGAAGCTACTGGGTCTTATGTTGGAATCTGCTTGGGAAAACCCAGAATTTAGGTTCTTAAGTCATTTTTAAATTGTTCTATGTGTAAAACTAAGCTAAACTAGCTAAAGTTCATTAAACCAAGAGTCTTAAAAGTTCATGAAATATGGTGGGAGTAGTGCCTCAGGCTTGTAATCCTAGCTAGTCGGGAGCTTGAAATCCAAGGATTGAGGTTCGAAGTCAACCCAGGCAGGAAAGTCTGTGAAACTCTTAGCTCTACTAAGCTACTAAAAAGTCAGAAAGGGAGACATGCCTCAATTGGTAGAGCCTTGAACAACAACAAAAACAAACAAACAAACAAAACAGGAAAGCTCAGAGACAGTACGTAGACCCTGAATTCAAACCCCAGGACTGGCATGAAATGAAAGAGTGGAAGAAAGAAAGAGAGAAAAAAGGAAAGAGAAAGAAAGAAAGAAAAAAGAGTGAAGAAAGAAGGAAGGAAGGAAGGAAGGAAGGAAAGAAGGAAGGAAGGAAGGAAAGAAGGAAGGAAGGAAGGAAGGGAGGAAGGAAGGAAGGAAAAGGATAAAATGTGACTGCCTAAAAAGAAGCAAACATTGCTTTAAGTTTTCCCTTTATTTTTGAGTGATGATTTGACTCATTTTCTTGTTTAGTATTTGGTGGCTCTTCTTTCCTTATTATGATGTGACTGTGTAGAGTATTGATAGTGGGAGAGGGCCTGAGTACCTAGGTTTGAATCTCTATCGGTCCTTTCTCATCTCAGCATCCTTGAATACTGTGTTCCATTTTTGTACCACAGTTGTCTCATCTGATAGAAGTATTGATAAATAGAAACTTATCTCATGAGATAACGAATGTTAAGCATTTAGACCAATACAGGTGAATGGTACTACACTTATATTGTCTTTTATATTTATGAAGAGAAAAGTGTCTTCAAAATCCTAATCAATTTTTTTTCTTTTTAGAAAGACACTTGTATACCATATTTTCTTGATCCATTCATCTACTGAGGGGCATCTGGGTTGGTTCCATATCTTAGCTATGGTAAATAATGCTGTAATAAACATAGTTGTACTGGTAGCTTTAGTGTGGTCTTGTTTGTAAACATTTGGGTAAATGTCCAAAAGTGGGATTGCTGGGTCATAGGGGAGCTCTATGTGGAGTCTTTTGAGGAATCTCCATACTACTACTTCCAAAGTGGTTGAACAAGTTTACACTCCCACCAACAATGCAGTAAAGTTCCTTTCTGTCTACATCCCCTCCAGCATCTGTTGTTTTTAGAGTTCTTGATTTTAGCCATTCTAACTGGAGTGAGGTGGTATCTCAATGCTGTTTTGATTTGCATTTCTTTTATGGCTAGGGAGGTTGAACATTTCTTCATGTGTCTATTGGCCATCCTTCTTTCCTCTTCAGAGAAGTTTCTCTTTAAGTCTTTAGCCCACTTATTTATTTGGCAGTTGTTTCTTTGAGAATTTGTTACTGGGAATTTAATTTTTTGAGTTCCAAGTATATTTTAGATATGAGACCCTTGTCCGTTGTATGGCTACTGAAGATCTTCTCCCAATCTGTAGGCTTTCTATTGGATCAAAAAATGTGGTATATATACACAATGGAAGTCTATGCCTCCATCAGAAAGAATGACATTGCCCCATTTGTTAGGAAGTGGAAAGACTTGGAAAAACTTATATTAAGTGAAGTAAGCCAGGCCCAAAGAAACATAGGTCCCATGGTTTCCCTTATTTGCAATATCTAGTATATGTCTAAGTCAAGCAGAAAAGGTCAGATAAGGTGATGTTAGGGAAATGAACCCTAAGATATGTATTCAAATTGAACCCTAAGATATGTATTCAAATGTTTTTTTTCATGCGATTGTTTCTAACACATTTATAAGATTATTTCTTTGTTGCTTTGAATGTCCCTCCCCCACAGTATAACCCCTGCTTTCACTGTATTTGATGTCGGTATAATTTGTGGAGGGGAAGGCGAAAACAAATTGTTTAAATAGGGATACAGGTGGACCCATTACAACAATGAGATGCACAAGTCGTTATGTTGAAAACGAACTTTACAACTTTGGTGGGGGGGGGGGGGGAGCGCGCGCGGGGGGGGGGGGGGGGAGGGGGGGGGGAGGGGGAGGGAGCGCGCGGGGGGGGGAGGGGGAGGGGGAGGATTGGGTGGGGGGTAGGGGGAGGATGGGAAGGGGAAACAAAGGAGGAGGCTACAATGCTTGATAAGAAATGTACTCAATATCTTGCCCATGTAATTGTAACCCCTCTGTACAGTATTTTCACAATAAAAAAGAAAGAAAGAAAAAAAAAGAAAAGACACTTGTGTTCACTAGAATGGGTAAATGGATAGCTAGCTAGCTAGCTAGATAGATAGATAGACAGACAGACAGGCAGAGATAGATCAATAAGCATAGTGTTCATTATGATGTTTTTTTGTTTTTTTTTTGATATTAAAGAAGCAACTTTATTGAGAAGGTTCCTACACTGACCGGCCAGGGCCGCAGCACAGGCTCAGGAGCTGATACTGCCTCATTATGATGTTTTGATGTGTGTGCAAATTGTAGCATTGGTAATTAACACTTGCTTATATGTGCTTGAATTTGCATTGTATTGTATTTAAGAACAGAAAAAACTTTCTTCAACAATTTTCAAATATACAACGTATTACCATTTTAATCAATATCCTTACCATGATATACAATAGAACAGATGTGCATAAAAGGGATTTTCCTATAAATTATTCCCTCTTACAACTCATTCTTTCACTTTGTAAATTGTTTTTGTTCTAGTATCTCTTCTCACACAAGGTGAATAAACTCCTTATGCTATTATTATTTGCCGATTAAAATCACATTAAAAAGATAACATGGACATGGATCTAAAATCAATACCAATAAAGGATAAGAAGTATAAAAGAAACAAAGGGAGAAAAAGAGACAGAGCTAAAGGAAACATGAAAAGGGGGAAAAGAAAAGAAAGAAGAGAGAGATGAGAGAAGATAAGGAAGAGCAATATGGGAACCTAAACAGTGATTACTTTTAAACTCCATGAAATCTGTAAAGGAAATTAATGCAAGTAAGTTTACAGACCTATAGAAACAACAACAACTTCTAAAGTAAACTACTACAGAAGGACATTCAACAAGACTACTGCTATCAATAGGACCTTTTCACAATTTATACAAATCTCTACTCCTCTCCATGGCTGCCTGAGACTTCATGAGGGTCTCCAGTCCAAACTAATGCCTCTGTCTCTCAAATGGATTCAGTAGGCAAACTAGAAAGCTCAGAGACCATGATCAATTTTGTGATACCTTCAGAACCCTTTAATAGCTTTATGGCAAGATGAAGACTAATATTTAAAGAGAGAATATTAAATGCTAAAAACTGAAATTCATAGCCTACAAAATACCTCCTCAAAATTTAAAGAGTATTCCACGTGTCCA